TTCAAGTTGCACTCAAAGATAGGTAACGATAAATTGTGGAGTGAAGAATAGCAGATGCCCTATCATGGAGAAGTTGTGTGCTTCCGAAACACCAAAACGTTGGCTTTTACGGGCTGAGGGCGGGTACGCAGCTGCACGACAAGGCATTCCCTATCCCGTTCGCCCCTCGTCCCTCTGCCCCCATAGTCCCTCACCGTCGGACTGTAGCTGTTTCAGAGGGAAGCAAAGTGTTCATGTTGGTGACTTCAGCACTGATACTTGCGATTTTGGCTATGTGACGCCCAAAGCGGAAGTTAGCGTGGAAAGCCAAGGTCCCGCTTTGCATGGTTTAGGCTGTTTCCCATAGTTTTTCTACACTACTTCACAATTTACCACCTCTACCTTTCATTTCGATCGACGGCCAACTTTTCATGCCCCTGCTATTTGGTGTATGCATTAGAGCTTAGGCAAATTGATACTATGTCGCGAAATGCGTGGAATGTGCAGAGCTTCCTATAAGAGGCGGAACTATGCGCAGCAGGTCGTTTCTGTAAGACGGGGTTGTTTTTTGAGTTTTTGAATGAGTGAATTTGTAACAAGTCACCTCGAAATCGCGAGCTCTAGATTCATGGCTCTGGATGTCCGTCCCCCCCCCCCTCAGTCGACTCGACGAGCGGTTTGGAGTTGTTTAAAGGGCGGGGTTGGTAGCAGAGGGCGCAATGTGGCTTGGGGGAAGTCATTCGCCGCCGCGAAGTGCGGCATGTTCGGCTCTCAGCGGGATTGTGTAAACTCGAACATTCCGGCTTTTCATGCATGTCAAGTGACTCCCTCACCCCCCACCCCCCCCCCCCCTAGAATTGGCTACACTGCCCCTGGCTCACGGATTTCCCACTTCGCGCAAAAGAACGCGAACTTGCCACGCCGCGGCTGGGACTGGCTCCCTCGTGTCACATTGCGCCAAATCAAGTATGATAGCACTACAGAAACAGTCGTGGTGGCGAATATGTACGGTAGGTATGGTATGGGATATTCCTTTCAGGAGGGGATCGTAAAAGAAATTCGAAATTCGCACGTGGTGACAGGTTGCTGTCCCGCTGTGTCACACTGCCAAGTACCCGTGAGCTTTCCCTGGCAAAAAGAGTGCCAAGTGAGTTTGTTGAATAATGGTACCAAGGAGTGGTGCCGGTGTAATTAGCACGACCTCTAATGTGTAAGTATACTTGGTATGGTCAACGGCAACATGAACTCGGTCCTTTGAACCGCCTCATTTTGATGCTCTCGCCTGCGCTCTCTGCCTAAACAGCGGCTCTTGATTATTGTGATCTCACACATCAAAACTTTTGCCCCACTGGAATTGGCTCACTCATACCGGAGGGTCTTCCCTCTGAGGCTTAAGCAAACGCATGTGCTGATTCGGTATTTTGAAGAATCATTCAGTTCCTTTTAGATTTCGGATTACCTCACGTCATTCAGAGGCTTTCGTGGAAATTAGCTTCTATTTGAGCTTCCACTTGAACACGTCATTTTACATTGTGCACGTTCTCCTTGAAAAACGTTCTTCTGACGGAAGGCTTAGAATCATGTCATGTCGTTCCTCAGCTGCATCTTCTTGCACAACGGTTCTTTTCAGAATCGAGTCTTCAAGGAGATAGAAACGTTTCCGAAATTTCTAAAGTGTAGAAGCATTTTCAAAATCTCTCATTTTTAGTGTCTCTGCATAAACCATAAGATTTGAGCTTGTTAAGAATGTAATCCGCGCTCCCAGGGCCGGTACTTCTACTAGTTTCTAAATCTAATCGTGTTGCGTTGGACGACAACCCTGCCTTCTTGGTGGCAACGCAGGGTTCAGTGCTGTTCAGTGGTATGATCATTGGGATTAATGAATTGTCTATGCAATTTCGTGAGGACGTTTCGTGGTTTGCATATGCTCAGGGGCCATTTCTTACGGTGAGACTTGCCGTGAATGCAGACTACTATGACATGAACTTGTGTTCAGGCCATAAAATGCGCTCATCGCTTTTTTTTCGGAATATACTTCTTTTTCAGTTGTGCTATAGTGATTTTTTAACCACCTTTACTTGATTTTGATTTCGGCCTGTTTCCAGTGGAGGGTAGGGATCATTTTAGTGCAATATTCCGTGCCAGTTACTGTAGTACAGTTTTATGAAAGAAATCATTTCTCGCCCATTCTTTCTCTTTTCATATTGTACATAGCTGCGGGAAATTGTGGAGGGGAAAGAGCTCCACATTTGATAAACGAACTTTCATATACATAAGAGAGAGGATTTGGTGCGGCATTAGCAGCCGCCTGCGCTTCTAATTTTCGCGGGGGGACTGGTCATCACAATGTGAAAAAGGCCTGCTAGTGCAAATATTCCTAGGTGCCATCCCAATATGGGGGGCATCCTCCAAGACCAAATCCAGAACGGGAACAGAGTTCTGGGAGGATTGAAAATGGCTCACGCACTCTGGAGTCTCTCCTCCCGCGCCTAAAGTTCAGTCCCTTTCAAACAAAAAATATTTTACGCGTTTTCAATGCATCGCCACCACAATGCCCACGTATAATGCGATAGCGCCTATTCTCGGTAGGTCTATTGCGAAGGTTGCCTTGTGCTGAATAATATATTCAATGAATAGCAGAATCATCGACGATCGAACGCGGTTGCACTTTGATGAGCGAGAGCTAATGGAAACGCTGCTTTTTAGCCCACTTCAATGTTTGCTATAGGGGAAACGTAATTCAAACTGATGGCTGATGCAATATCGTACGATAACTCCATTAGCCATCTCATATAAACGAACTGTCGGTGTGGAAAGCTAGTTATTGCTGGCTATGCTCGTTCCCTAGCGGTGGTGAGTCCCTGCTCTCTCTATCTCTCTCAGTCCACTCCCAGATCCCTCCCACTCTCTTGTTCACCCACATGACGTCATCGATCAGGTGGAGCACGTGGTCGGTCACGACTGCTGCTTGCCGTCACGACTCAGTGTCTCCCTTTGCCCGTAAAATCTCGGCCGCGCTTGTCTGGCGCCGATATCATTTCTTCTCACACCGGGAAATGCTACGCTCTGACGATGTCCATGAAATTTACGCAGAGCAGGTTTTCGGGTCACTTGATTGCCTCCCCTTCCTGTGTCGCCAACATTTCACGTCCTTATTTGTTCTTTGCCTTCTACTTCTTTTGGCTTTCTTGAAGGTGGTTTGCTTAGTAGTTGCGTCAAAGAAGAGGATTTCTTCGTACTTTTTTTTACCGTTTCCAAGGTGTATGCCTTGGGAATTTGTATCTCCTGAAGGAACTTCCTGAATTCGGTCGATCCGCTACTCATAGCGTATGGGTGCTTTGTCCACTGGCTGTCCACTTTCCGTTTCTTACGTTGACATCCCCTGATGATTCAGTCTTCTTCTTCCACTTCTTCCGAGCATTAATCCCATGCAGTCACAGGGTCCGCCTCTAATAAGTCAGCAAGGGGTGCTCACATCATTAGGGGGTACATTGAAGTAAGTGAGCCGTTTGCAGAACTTGGGACTAAGCCTAGGGAGGGAAGGGATTCTGGGGGAGGACGTGAGCAACCATTGTTCTCCCTGGCGTTTCTCCCCTCTCCTGGGCTTAGTCCTAGTGTCACCTACCAGCGGTTTTTGAATGCCCTGTTTTGAATGTCCCCTAAGGACATGAGCGACTAGTAGGGTTTCCAAGGAGTCCCACCTCATCAAAAGTCCCGACGATTGCAAACTTAGGAGAAGCCAGGTATTTATCAGATCTCATGTTACACTTTGTAATGATTTACGATGAAATCTTTTTGGAAGTAAATATGTATGTAATTAGAATAGGAAGCGAGCTATTGTACCCGGTTTTGTCCCACGCTACTCTTTCAGATGTGAGCCTTCAGGTGAAACTGCAATCGTAGTTAGAAGATGTTATTCTGAGCTTGAATTCCCTTTCGATATTACTTATCGGCGGTTTCGGTCGGAATTTTCTCCTCCCACATCGAGACAAGTAGTTCTGGCTAGCGCGAATTTCACTCACTCTTCTCCTTCGTGTGGTCATGGTATTTTAAACGAACGCTGCTAATCTTCAAATTTCTTTAGCACAGGAGGAGGTGCTAGGAAATTATTTTAGGATTCCGAACAAATCTACTGTGCTAGGAAAAACCTGCGTTTCCCAGTCACAATTAACACCGACGTGGATGGCTGGCCTTTCTTACTAATTCTTGGATTAAGAATAGGTAGAGGAGAAACTTCTATGGCGAGGAGTCTCATCATCAATTGAAGAATAATATTCTGTAAATGAAGTCATTCGTCCCCACTGTACTAGGGGTCAGTATTAACTGATTCGGTCAGGAATTTCCTTTTCAAGATAATCGATAAACTTTCGACTGCGGAATCATTTCTCAGTGCTACCACCTATGTTTGTGGGATCTCCTCGGTTTCTCATTGATTGTGTTTCCCTTTCGCGACGATTCGCTCGCTGTTCACTTTCGGCGGTATGTTTTGATCTAAGAAGTTCGACTTTCGTTGTATAAACAAAGTCCATTACTTTGTTTTATTTTTGCCAGAAATTTTATTGTTATTCGGTTGTGGGTCATGGTAATTCAATCATCAGTGGTGGATTTCATGAATGATTGTACTTCACTGCCCTTTTTATTGTTCGAATCGTATCAGTATTGTCAGCGTTTCCAATGTGAGAAGTCGAACGCTGTTACACTAACTTGGACGGGGCTCGTGTTCAGAGGCTAAGGATCGCGTCGTAAAGTGCAGGGGTTCGAGGCACCACTGTTATTTTGTGAGTCTCGCCTGCAGTGGTTTTTTTTTATCTGGTAGATGTGACGTCGGCCATTGAAATATCAGTGTGAACAGCTCTCCCATCGAGGTGATCCTTCAATCGATGAGACAGGAATCAGTCCTTGCTTAGTACTTTTAGAACTTCGGACCCAAAAACTTGGTGGGGTGTAGTTTTATTTGGAACGTAACCCTCATTCATCCCGTTCTACCTCATGAAGCCCCAGTACTTCTGCAGTGCTAGGACATGGGGTGCCGCATCCATAATAGGCATAGTTGGAGTTCCTGTTGACTGACCTAGACTTCATAGATTTTCGACATCTGCTAGTTGAGCGCAGAACAGAGCGAAGTTTCACCTCAGCCCTCACTGTGAAGCAATTTTTTTAAAGATTTATTTCCTCTATCGTCTCGTGAACACATACTTCGTAATATTCTTTCTGCGTAGGTTATCTGCTTCCTATTTAAGCAGTATTTCAGGAGCTAAGTCGAAAAATGTCTGGAGATAGTTTTCCTCACTTCGGTACGGCTGCTCTTCATATTGGGCAAGAGCCAGAACAATGGGATATGAATCAGGTAAGAGCTCTCACGGAGTCATCTCCTTTCTGTCTGGGCTCACGAAGCCTGAGATCAAGAATTTACGCAAACGACCGGGAAAGTGTGATGATAAGATAGGCACGAGACAGCAGAGTGGAAAAAAGTGGCGACTTCGTAGAAGATCTTCAAAAAATTTTGCTTTTTGTTACGGCCGGTTATTGATTTTCTGGATCTTATCTACTACACGGAACTTCACACACAATCATTCACCACCTCCGTTCTAGCGGGCGCTCACGGATCGCGTTTCCTTTGTCTGGCTCTGTTTCCCATTTCATTGTCATTCACGCAGGTCCCTTGTCAGCCCTTATCTTTTTTGTCAACATAGCATTTCGAGCCCATTGATGTAGTAAAAGGCAAGGCAGTTTTTCCGGAATTTTCGTGAGCACTCAAGAAATGTTTTCTGGATTTAAAATAATAACCTCAATGAAGTGAAAGCTTTTGGGGTAGTCGAATACTTCTGAACACGTATGGGACTTGTGCAAGAATTCCCAGGACCTATAGCTACTATCATAAATGCGCTCATTGTGAATGATATATTCATTAACACTTGACGACAGCCATTGTGCTTTGATCTTGGCATCTTTTCTATATTGTTTTCATGAGTAGCCTTCATTCTTCAATAATTTAGTTTTCAATAATACATTATTATAACGGGTGCATAGTACTCCGTATTCATGAAGTGAAGGAAACTTCCAAACATATAAAGAGAAGTGAGCCTCCTATAGGCCGGTGTCAGACTTTGCGAATCGAGCGGTTTGTACTTGTAACTCGCTCGATTCGCAAAGCCTGACGTCGGCCTTAGGCGCGTTGCATCACGTTGTCATCATAGTATTAATCAAACACATATGAAAAGGACATTTTCGGTCAGGCTCCTATTATTATACTTGTGCACCATCTAGCTGTGCGACATTGATGGCAGCTCGTCGCCCCAGATGTGTTCTTAAATTAAGTGATTTACTTAGTTTGTCTGGTCCTTATACTGAAAATTCAGGTAGTACCTCCTATTTCATTGTCTACTACTTACAAGCAAGATAGACCTGGAGAACCGAAAGGGCACGACTATTCAAGAGCAGGAAACCCTTCAAGAGATGTATTGCAAAAGTGTCTTGCAGCTCTTGAAGATGGCAAGCACTGTGAGTTACACAAGATTCTTGGCTTCAAACCACTATTTCCCACTGAATATTAGAAGTTACAGGCCATGTGTTTGCGTCTGGACTGGCCGCCTCAATGGCCGTCATCAACATGATGCGAGCTGGAGACCACATCATTTGCTCCGATGATGTTTACGGAGGTGAGATATTTTGATTTGCAAGGTTGCTTACGTATTCAGTTTATGGGACAATGCTTTTTCTTGCTCAGGAACGCAGCGATTTCTTCGTCGTGTCTCAGTGCCTCAACATGGAATCCAAGCTGATTTTGTTGATCTTACTAACATAGAACTACTAGAGCAAGCTTTTAAACCGAACACAAAGGTAAAGTGCAAACATTACTCAATGGACAGCTTTGTAAGATTTGCTCCAATCATGGTCAGTGAGTGTCTGTTGTGAGGTTTAATTTTGTTCTGTTTAGTTGATTTGGTTCGAGACGCCGTCGAATCCACTCATGAAAGTAGTTGACGTTGCAGCTGTTGTTCATACTGTCAAGAAGGTCAACCCAAATATCTTAGTTGTCGTTGATAACACGTTCATGAGCCCGTACTTCCAGGTATGTTTTACAGCAGTACCTATTTCTTAGAAGTCTTCCATTATTTTGCTTCTAGCGACCCCTGTCCATGGGTGCTGACATTGTTGTACATTCTATCACCAAGTACATAAATGGACATTCTGATGTAGTCATGGGTGCGGTTATCACTGATGATGACGACATCCAGCAACATCTTTTCTTTCAACAGCTTGGTAGGTTCATAGCCTTGTCCTTCACAACTTCTCTTCTTGAAATATAAGTTTAGCCGTTGGTGCTGTTCCTTCACCTTTCGACTGCTTCCTTGTTAATCGAGGAATAAAGACACTGCATTTGAGAATGCGAACTCATTACCAAAACGCGTTGGCAATCGCTCAGTATCTCGAGAGCAATGAGCGAGTGGAAAGTGTGAGTTTTCCATCCGTAGCTTTACGTCCACAGACTACTAAAGTTTATAGCTAGACTAATCGGTGAAGAATTCGCTGTTGCTCTAAGTTTTGATATCAGTGTAACATCTATTTTTAATGGTTTTGCGACCTACACTTCAACGATTAGATTGAACCTTATAGGTGTTGTATCCGGCCTTACCGTCACATCCACAGCACAAGATTCACTTAAGTCAAACTAAAGGAATGTCTGGTATGATGTCCTTCTACTTGAAAGGCGGATTAGAAGAAAGCCGAATATTCCTTAGCTCTTTGAAGGTGAGTTTTTAGTTGCTCATCTTACGTTGTGTCATAAGTTGTGTGATGTTCAGATTTTTACATTGGCCGAATCTCTTGGAGGATATGAATCATTAGCTGAATTGCCGTCAATAATGACACATGCTTCTGTCCCTCCAGAGGTATGTCCAAAATTCCCATCTCTCCCTGAAGGAACCGTAGTTGTATATTCAATGCTGGTGATCATTCAAGGAGCGAGCCAAGCTTCGTATTACTGACAATCTCATTCGGCTATCAGTCGGAATTGAGGATCTCGACGATCTTATAGCTGATTTGGACCAGGCATTGAAAGCTGCTGTAAGATAATGATTCATTTGCTTAAGTAATTTCTGTTTAAGCACTGTTTCGATGTCCCTGAAATTCGCTTTTTCAGGTGAAATTGTGATCAACCCATTCGAGCCTTGCAGGCGCATAAGTACGCTCCCTCTTTGGTTTTCAAATGATCATTACTTCTTACCACACATAGAATAGAGTTGTATTGCGATATTCATGTCATGTGTTGCGGATTTTATATGGATCCATATCTGATGTGCGGTTTTTCTACCGAACTGATATTCTTTTCAAGTATGGTTCAAGTTCCCTTTGAGCATGGAAGAATCTTCGTCTATTTCTCACATAATTATATGACTTCTTAATGACTGATTGGCATATCGAAATCCTATTTGTATTTCAAAATTTAGCTGAACTCTTGTGAACTTTGTTACTCTACTAATGCCGTAGGCGTGACTAGAAGGAAGTTGCGATGCTGAAAAATTGACATCGCGACATTTGCAACCTATCAGAATTCTAAAGTCCTCAAATCCCGTTGGATACAAAATAGCAAGTCGTGATTTTAAGAGGTAATAAACATTGTTTGGAAGTTGTTAAGAATGGAAAATAAAACTGGGTCTGGACTTTGTTGGCAGCAGAATCATAGTTTACGGCTGAGAGGAACTGAGCCTATTTTTTCGTGCGTTCTCATCAAGGTCGGAAACGCTAGAGCGGAGGCATTCAATGGGGTAGTGTGCGATAATTAGGCTTTGCGCCTTGTTAGGCATTTGAGAACGACGAAATGGTTTATTCGGCCAGAAAAAAAAACCTTCCACCTGAGAAACTCAAGTGTTTTTCAATCTGAGGGTGAACAGAACAACTAATGCTGCTAATGTTCAATGATGCTTTTGTTGTTGTATAAGAATGGCGAATTTTCACCCTGCAAAGTTTATACTTGTTTCCATCTCACAGCGGTAGATGGCCTGTCCAAGGATGTAGTTAAGCTACAGGAATAACTATTTTTCGACTTCTTGATGTTGTACGATAAAGGATGAAAGGATGAAGCATTCGCCGTTGATCAATCCCTTTTTGGGATGCGGCACGCATTCTACTTCCATTTGTACATTCGTAGTGGCGTTTGAATGCGATGTGGCCTATACAATGACTTGCGGGGCCAGCCGATGTACAAGTCAGTGTTTTTATCCTCCCAGACAAGTCTGGTACCAATTAACCGACCCCGGAGGGATGGAAGGCTTGGTTGGCCCGGGCGACTCACGACCCAGGATTTGATCCCCGGACCGCTCGCGTGGTAAGCGTGCCACTTGCCACTACACCACTTCCGCCCCTGATGTTGCTTTATCCGGATGTTGTACGATATGCATCGAAATCAACCTAGTATCTCAAAAGCATTTGAATGTGTCATATCCTTACTTCTGTAGTTGGATGTAGAATCAACACTGTGGGAAATTTCTAACCATGAGGGATTAGGGAAGGGGTCTTATTTGATGAAGTCTGTTTTTGAAACATAGGGGGTAATCTTCACTGTATTTTCCAGGAAACGATAGAAACTTCAATTTTTTGTTGTTCCAGTGGCAATACTTATACTCACTCCTTTCTAGGATAAACAGTTATTTGTACAAGTGTAAATGGTGGTGTAGCTATCTATAGTGTGGGCAGGGACGGGGAGGAGGGTTGTGAGCTGGCTTGCACCAAGAGGGTCAAGCGTCGTAGAGAAAGTCTACGCATGACCTTAACCTAGATTTTCCTCTTGCAATGGCTGATCCTGCGGGTGGGCATTCAAGAAGCAGCCACTTTGACGGGATTATGTCGAACAATCCATGGTTGGGTAGGATGGAATAGCCCGTGGGCATCATTTTGTGACGGTGCGCGGCTAGAAAGTATGCGACAATGTCGCTAGGACCTACAAAGTGAGCTAATGTCGACAAATGTGGCCTAATGGACGTGATACCTGGATTAAAATGTTGCGATTAATTAAAATACGTGCGGTTTAATAATGCCACGGAGCAGACAAGTTCAGACAATCGTCCGGACCACCCCTCATGCATTTCAAGGGAGAAAGGGAGAGAGAGAAATAGATATCTTGTCCATTGGCTCACATTAGCCGTCATTAGCTCACCTCGTAAGGCATCGACGGTTTGCTTCATTTTTTCATCAGTCAACTCGACATTCACAATTTCATTTCGACCGCTATTACCCCTCCAGTTTGAGGGTTCAATGCCACCTCCGATCTAGGTGCGAAGTTACCCATATTAGGTGCCAAAAGAAAGAGTTCATAATGCTATGCCTTGTCACCCTGTTTGCGAGAAGGCCTAAAAATAATCAAAGTGCCCGCTACTTAAAATAAACTATGTGCTAAAAATGACATCAAAACTTCGAGATTCATCGGTTCAACATCTCCAAGGTTGCCAAATATGAAAAAAGCACAAGTTCGTTATCTTTGCTAGGATACAAAGAACAAGAACAGGAACACTAACAATAAGTCCAAGACGGTTTGACGCATACATTTTAAAAGCTCACTCTGTCCTGCCCGCTACTTCTCGCCAGACGCAGAGAATCGAGAGCGGTTTTTTTTCAGGTGTCTAGATGAGGGTTACATGCGCTGCATCATGGAGAAGAGAAACAGAGGCGGGTGTTCCGTTTATCAGCTATCGACGTTGATCGATAATCAGATCATGGTCCACGTCGCGTGCTAAATGGATGATGGAACACTCTAGTCAGTTTCTCTGTCGATAGAATGTTTTTAGATCTCTTGGTCGAGTTGAGGTTTCACCGGGCATATGCACGCTCACCGTTGTACTTGTTGTCCACATTCTGGCAATGGCTGGCCATCGCAGTATACACGGGTGGCACCCACCAATCGTTTGATCATCGAAAACCTTCATGACAAAGAAAACTTGACCACCTTGAGGCTCGTGGTGGACCAAGTTCGTTACAACGTCAACGCGCTGCTTGTGTGATGGAGGCGAATGGCCGAGAACAATGCAGGGCCGTCAGCTTTTGTGTGGTCATGAATCGACTTCTGCTAACAGAATTTAGTCCAAATTGCATCGGGTTGTTAGTCCAGTGATGTCTGTTCTGGCATCATGCCTGTCAAGATCGGGTCGGTACGAGCATCACCCTTTCATTCGGAATCGACCGTTTGATGAAAAACCTACCAGCGAGTTTCAGCGAAGCGGCACACCTGCATGTGAGTGGAAGGGGAAAGGTGATCAAATATAGTTTATATTGAATGCTTTGGGGGCTCGGAATGAAACGGTCACTCTGCCGGCCGGGCTTTTACGATGGCTGGCTTTTATTGCCAAGATACATCCCAGCCATGCTATCGGCTGGTAAACTCGTTCTTTCGGGTGCAACACAATCCGTCATCACCCATCTGATTATCGACCAACGTCGAGATGTGATAACGGGAGCCTCGCCTTTGTTTTCCTTTTCGGAGATTTGCATCGCATCCTCACTTAGACACCTGAAAAAAAGACCGTATTCTCGCCTTCTATCCTCCGACTAGAAAGGGAGGGCAGGTGGAAGGTAGCTATTTGACTGCTAATTTGCCTCATGCGACGAGTTTTTTTTGAAGCTCTATATGTAGGTATGTTGTCAAACATTCTAGACCAGCATGATATACGTCACATATTGCGGGCCATTTGGGTGCGACACCCTGACTCGCGCGGGCGTCGGCGTCAAAGGGAACCAAAATA